AACGACGCGCCGGCGCTCAAGGAGGCGGACGTGGGGCTGTCCATGGGCGTGCAGGGTACTGAGGTGGCCAAGGAGAGCTCTGACATCATCATCCTCGACGACAACTTCGACACGGTGGTGACGGCCACGCGGTGGGGGCGCTGCGTCTACAGCAACATCCAGAAGTTCATCCAGTTCCAGCTCACCGTCAACGTGGCGGCGCTCGTCATCAACTTCGTGTCGGCGATCACCACGGGCAAGATGCCGCTCACCACCGTGCAGCTCCTGTGGGTGAACCTGATCATGGACACCATGGGCGCTCTGGCGCTGGCCACCGACACGCCCACCAAGGCGCTCATGGACCGGCCGCCCATCGGCCGCACGGCGCCGCTCATCAGCAACGCAATGTGGCGCAACCTCGCGGCGCAGGCGGCATTCCAGATCGCCGTGCTGCTGGCGCTCCAGTACCGGGGGCGGGACGTCTTCGGCACCGACGAGAAGAGCAACGGCACCATGATCTTCAACGCCTTCGTGCTCTGCCAGGTGTTCAACGAGTTCAACGCGCGGGAGATCGAGAAGAAGAACGTGTTCGCCGGGGTACTCAAGAACAAGATGTTCCTCGTCATCATCGCCGTCACGCTCGTCCTGCAGGTGGTCATGGTGGAGGTGCTCACCAGGTTCGCCGGCACCAAGAGGCTGGGGCTGGGGCAGTGGGGCGTCTGCCTCGCCATCGCGGCCGTGTCGTGGCCCATCGGCTGGGCCGTCAAGTTCATCCCCGTGCCGGACCGGACTCTCCATGACATCCTCACACGCCGGAAATCCTCATGATGCATTCATTCATACCGCACCGCAGTGTTCATATTTCACAATTCATATAGCTTAGGTGATTCTTTCATACATTTGTTTAGCATACAGTAACTATTTGTCGAACTGCAGTTTTCATATTTCACATAGCTTAGGCGATTCTTTCATAAATTGTTACTCATCATTTGTCGAATCTTATATAATACAAATATATTTATTTTGTTCATTTGTTTAGTATACAGTAATTATTTGTCGAACTGCAGTTACTCGTCATTTGTCGAATCTTATATAATACTCCCTTCGTCCGAAAATACTTGTCATTGAAACGGATGTATCTAGATGTATTTTAGTTCTAGATGCATCCTTTTTCATCTATTTTGATGATAAGTTATTCCGGACAGAGGGAGTACAATTATATCTCTTTTGTTCATCGGTGTTTCTAAAATCTTCCATTCAAAGTACAGAAATTTAAGGCGTGATTTCGCGCCGAAACGTGGCAAGCTGGCTACCGTGTTGACCGAGGGAACAAGCTGAATGTCAGCATGACTACACCTAATGTAATCACAATTCGGCTGTCAGTCGTAAGATAGTGTCCGTTCTAGATGTTCAATCAAACACACGTTGGTCCTTTTTAGGTGGGATAGCTCTGAAACTAAGCGTGGATAATATTATTATTTTTGCATATCTCTTCCAGATTAATACTTTTAAGATCTGATTGGCTTTTCCCTTTGCTTGTTCCTCTGAATATGCTTACATTTTCCGTTATTCCAGAATCAAACTTTTGACAATGTTGCAGCGCATCAGTTCCCTCCTATCTTCCCTGGAAGCATCCATCTTGACATTACCAAGCCAGTTGGTCAGAATGAGTCCAATGGTATTTTAAATCTAAGGTTGGTAAATAATTTAAACGCTTCTTCTTTCAAAAGCTGTTGACAGATAAGAGGAGGACGAACAACTATCACATCGTCGAAGGTCACGTCGCAAATTCTGAATATCATCTGACTTCATCCATGGCTTCTTGCATACGCCTCACGCATTACCTCCTTAATATTCTCGACTCCTTGAAGTTTCCTCTATCTCGGCTTTCCTGCAATATGCCTTGATCATTCAAGTTATAACACAATTTGAATATTGCCACAATAGGGTCATAAGGAAATGTGTT